CGGCTGCCGCAGTTTTTAGCCACTCTGGAAAAGATTTGGATGGGAAAAAGTGTTTCTGGGGAACCAAATCAGATTAGAACACTTGAAAGAGCCAGTGATCATTTTCCTTTCCTTCACCAAAGTTTCTTTAAAAAACAAAAACAAAAAAACCCCTAAACCAGGATTAGGCCACCTTGGCTCTTTTATGACTCGTGGACTTCAACTCCCAGAATTCCTGAGCCAGCTATGCTGAGGGGAAAGGGAGAGGTTTCCAAGCTGAGCCAGGCTGGCTCAGGAATTCTGGGAGTTGAAGTCCACCAGTCATGAAGGGGCCAAAGTTTCCGCCATGCTGGCTCAGGAATTCTGGGAGTTGAAGTCCACCAGTCATGAAGGGGCCAAAGTTTCCGCCATGCTGGCTCAGGAATTCTGGGAGTTGAAGTCCACCAGTCATAAAGAGGCCTAGGCCTAGGCCAGAGGTAGGCAACCTTGGCTCTTTTATGACTGGTGGACTTCAACTCTCAGAATTCCTGAGCCAGCATGGCGGAAACTTTGGCCCCTTCATGACTGGTGGACTTCAACTCCCAGAATTCCTGAGCCAGCTATGCCTACCCCTGCCCTAACCCAAAGAGTTTGCCTTTGGCTGATGCAAAATGTCAACCAAGAAGCCTCAAAAAATTCAGCTTGGGTGGGGGAGAGAGCTTCTTCCAGAAGGGCGCCCGCCAAGCATTTGTAGATAAAGGGAGCCCCCTGCTGGTAAGATCTGGGAATGGGTGAATGGCTTCCCACCGCAGGGAGAGGAGCAGCCTGGAAAAGCCAAAAGATTTCCGGGAAAGGGTCTGCCCGCCCTTCGCTCCGCAGCTGGCTTGGCAAGGTAAGCCTTCTCTTTCGGGGACCCCCAAGCTGCAGCCCCACGGCCAGAGCCCTTTGCCTATGGGGCTCTTGCTTGCCTCCCCCTGCTGGGCGGAAGGAACCTTGAGGGGAAGCCTGAAGACCCCAGGCTGAGGCCACGGCCAGAGAGAGGACCTGAGGGAGACCCTCCCCAATTCTCCAGGGCATAAGGGGGGGAGCGCATTCAGACCGGCAAGATCAGTTACTGTAACTCTGCGGGAAAGTATAGGCCAGGGGTTCTCAACCTAGGCAACTTTAAGACCAGTGGACTTCAACTCCCAGAATTCCTCAGCCAGCAAAGCAAAGCTGGCTGAGGAATTCTGGGAGTTGAAGTCCACAAGTCTTAAAGTTGCCAAGGTTGAGAACCCCTGGTATAGGCGGTCCTCAGCGACCATAACTCAGCTCCAAATTTCTGCTAAGTGTGAAAAACTGTCATAAGGCCCTTTTTTCAGTGCCGTTCTAACTTTGAAAGGTCACCCAATGAACTATTGTAAGTTGGCGACTACCCGTAGCAGCGTTGGCCTCAGTCACCAACCACGTTGGGACCGGCAACTTCTTTGCTAAGCAAGGTGGTGGTTAAGGAGACACCACATGACTGTAACCGCTGGCTTCCACCCTGGCTGCGCTTATCGGAAGCCGGCTCCGAAGCGGGCAAGTGGGGGTCACACAACCGCCTTGAGATGGCCATAAGTGCAGGCACAGCTCACGATGTCATTTCTTCAGCACTTTCGTAACTTCAGTTGATCACTAAATGGTTGTTAAGCGAGGACTACCTGCACTGGCCCGCAAGACTTTGGTTTCCCAGCCTGGTCTCCCCTGGGAAATTCCTGAATGTCTAGAAACCGGAAGTCCTTGCATGTTGGGTTGACGGATTCGGACTGATTGACTGACTGACAGAACAAGGTCTTCACCTAATTTGTTCAAAATACAATAATCTGAACCTGGTGATTAGTGCCTTGAGGAATACTTGTGGGTCGATTTGTTACGATATTCCCAGGAGTTGAGAAGCGCCCAAACCCCTCCTATCCTGTTTCTACAAAACCCACCCAGAATTAGAAGAATGGTGAAATTGAATAAATTCCCAAATAAAGGCCTTCGACTGGTCCCCTCAGAGGGACGTGAGAAGCAGCCCCCAGCGGCAGAGGCTCTGTCAGGCAAGCAGCTGCAGCACCTTCCAACTCAGTTGAACCCTCTAGCACTCCCCGCCCTTTGGGGCCCCCACTGGAAGACCCTGAGCAAAGCGGATGCTGGGCTGCAAAAGGGGGGCAGCGCTTTGCCAGCCCCCCAACTCTGCCTGCAGGCTGCCAGGCCTCGTGGCTGGAGGGCTGGGGAACGGCTCTCCCTGCCAGAGGGGGTCAGGGGGGGCCTGGGTCTCCCAAAGGCTGGAGGTGGCCAGAAAGGGGCACAAGGGACCCCGAGCCAGTCGGGGCTGCCAGTTGGTTCAGCTTGTGTGGGCCTGCTAAAAGCCACCCAGAGTCACCTCAAAGCGAGAAGGCTGGCAAATAAATCTAATAAATAAGTAAAAGCCTTTTGCCACATCCACAGCTCGCTCTCTCCTTTCAGCAGCCTTTTGGAACCCACCCAGAGGCTTTAGAGTCTGGAAAGGCCCTCCAAAGGCCATCAGGCCTGGCCTCCAAGCCTGATTGGCAGGGTCAGCAGGTTGCCGTGGAGACGAAGGCATCCTTGCTGGCCCTTCCTCTTCCCAATGGCAGAGCAGCAGCTCAGCTGGGGAGGGGGGGGGGCTCAGCTTCCCTTCCCCTGAATGCAGACCCCTCTGCCTTGCCTGGGGAGGCCTAGGAGGGAGCGCCAGGTAGCAAGACCCCCCCCCGCCCACTCCAGCTCCTGTGCCCCAGTTTGCACTTTCCCCTTGTGCGTCTTTCTAGGGCGCAATGGAGCCCCCGGGAGGGGACGCTCTGTGGAGGAGGAATCACCCTGCTGGCTCCCATCCTGAGACCAGGCCTTTTGGACCGGAGGATCCCCTTCCTGCCAGAGGCTGCCCATGCGGCGGGGGGGGGGGACGCTCTCCCCCCTTTCCCCAAAGTGCACCTGCCCAGTCCAGCTCGGCAGCTGAGGAGGAATGTGGCGGCAGATGGGCAGCACTTTGATCTCCACAGCTGCAGCTTTGGGGAGTTTTAGGGTGACTGTTTATGGCATCTGTGTGTGTTCACATTCTTGTGTTGTGCAAACACAGCCTGTTTGGTACAGTGGGGGGTTGAGGGTATTGTGCAGTGCCTGCTAATTGGATGGGCAGATTGGCAAGAGCGGTGTGTACAAACCCCAGGGCCTGACCCTTTCCGGCTGTGACATAAAGTAGGGAATACCCCGCCCAACACACACACACACACACACACTTTGCCACTCTGAGCTCCAGAGGGAGAGCAGGATGTCCATTTCTCCCCTTGTATACAGCTTAGATCACTGGATCCATCGCCTGGTGGGCACATAGAGCTGCCCCCCCCGTCCATCAGCCCCCCCCCCAGCCTCATGCTACACAGATTGTGAGCCTCACTGAAACCCAGCAAGGAGGAAATGCCCACCCACCTCAGGGGCTAAAGCTGAAGAGGCAGATTGGGCCCGTGGCGAAGGCACCTGGCTAAAAAGCAGGAGATCCTGAGTTCCAGTCCTGCCTTGGGCGTGAAAGCCGGCTGGGTGACTTTGAGCCGGTCACACTCCCTCAGCCCAACCCACCTCACAAGGTTGTTGTTGTGGGGGAAATAGGAGGAGGAGGGTGTGTTTGGCATGCTTGCCACCTTGAGGTGTTCTGTACAAACAATGGAGGATGCAAAGAAATGAATAAAGTCATTGGGTGCCTCTTCCGCCACAATGAGCAGCAGGAATAAGGATGGGCTGCGATGGGCTGCTGATTTTGCAGCCACACCTTGAGGCGGGCTGACGTCCAAGGCTTCTAATTCAGAATAAGAATGGCCACTCGCTTTCTTTTCTATAAACTAGACTTTATTACAGTAGAAAAATATCAAAAAAGTAATAAATTAAGTTACAGCTTTACTGCTTCATAAAAACACAGCTAGGCCTACATAAATAAATAAGGGTAAAGAGCTATTTACATAAGCAAAAGAGGCACCCTCCGTTCTCCTGAGATTGCAGAGCAGCACCTGGGACCCACAACTCTCCTCCTCCTCCTCCCCTCAACATCTGGCAGCAGAGTCTTGGACAGCCTTGACCGAAGGGGGCCTTCTGCCCAGAGCACCTTTCGGATACGGGGCCTCCCATCATCTTCTTGGCCAGGTGCCAAGTAGGAGCACAGCCTTCACCTGGTTGGCAGTTCAAGATGGGGAAGAGACCCCCTCGCAGCCTGCTTCCTGACAACAGGGGGTCCGTGGGCCCCCAAAGTAGGTGTTGCCCCCTCCCGGCCCTTCCTCAACCAGCTGCACACGCCAGCAGCCATTCCAGCTGCCTGGGACGTGGCCCTGACAGGAGCCGTGGGGAGGGGGCCGGGCAGACGCAGAGGCTGGCAATAGCTGTAAAGACCCCAACTCCTCCAGACTGCTTTCACTGCAGAGAGGCAGGGCCTGCCCCACCCAAAGGCCGAGGCAGCCCCAGAGCTGAGGGGTTCAAGGCAGAGCTTGAAGTAGAAGCAGAAAAGCTTCTTCCAGGGGCCCCCACAGTGAGGCAGAGGACCCAGTCCTGGTTCCCTTGCTGTATTAACCCCCAATTGGGGGGGGGGGCAGGCAACGCACTGGGCAAGAATCTTCCCCCCCCCCCAGGTCCAGGACAGTCTAAGAAGGGTGGGTGGGTTGTTTTAATTAAAACAGCACCCCCCAAAAAACAAGTAATCAGTGCAGCACAGCTGTATACTTATTGGGAGGCAGGTGGGGCCCCAAGGGGCCCCAAGAAGGAATCTACTGGATCCATCACAGATTCCAAGCCAGAGGGGACAATAGGGTTCCTCTGCAGCTTCTGGGGCAGAGCAGGGGCCAGGCTGGAAACCAGAGATGGGGGGGGGAAGACAGGCTTTCAGGAGCATCTTAGCTGACTCAGGCCCACTTCAGCTGCAGCTGGGCCTTCTAATCCCAGTCCCCCGCCTGTGCTGGCTGGCTGGTTTCTTCCAAGGAGCAGGAGGGGCCACGGCCCACGGGTCTGGCTTGCGAAGAGCCTTGGGGCAGGAGGTGAGGCTAAAAGTCCACATTGACGTCCTCTTCCCTGTCACTGTCCGGCCTGGCCAGCGGGCCAGAGGGGGCCGCCTGCGTCCTCCCAAACTGCGAGGAGAGCTTGGCCGCCTTCTGCTCCAGGCTCTGCTTGCGCCATTTGATTCTGCGGTTCTGGAACCAGACCTTGACCTGAAAGGAGAGAGAGAGCCCTGAAGCGGGGGCTCAGCAACATCTGGAGGCCCACAGATGGCTCACTTACTAGAAAGGAGCAGCTAAGCATGCTTCTAGGCCTAAGTGAGGAAAGGAAGCAGAAGACGGAAAGAGGACATTTGTACCAGACAGAGCTCTGGGGACAGAGGGAGCCTCCCAGATCTTCGCAGGACTTTGGGCATTCTTGTAATATTTTGAAGCTGTATACCAGCAGTTCTCCACCTGTGGGTCGGGACCCCATTTGGGGTCGAACGACCATTTCACAGGGGTCGCCAAACAACGCAGTCCGCCATTTCCCCCCCCCTCTTTTCCTTAGCTGTGCTACTCCCTTTTATTCTATTGGCTTTTGAAAGCCAAGAGAAGAGACTCTCTTGAATAGAGTCTAATTCTATTGGCTTTCCAAAGCCAATAGGAATTATCCAGGCTGTCTCTGCCCTGCTGAGCCCGCCAAAAGTCCCATTCTGCAAACGGTGCTGCACCAGTTGAGTAGTCCTCGACTTACGACCGGTTGAGTAGTCCTCGACTTACAACCGGTTGGGGGGGGCTGCGGCATTAAAAAGGTTGAGAACCACTGCTTAGGAGCATCCATCAAAGAGCTGTTATCCTGCATTTATGTTATTTATCCAATGTGTATGGCTACCCATGTCATAAAAAAGTTTCTGGGGAATGTATAATTCCTCATCGGGCCAGCAAGAGGCGGGGAGAAAATGGGCCTCGTTTTTGATGCAGATGCACCTTGAAGGTTCCACTTGCACTGAATTTATGCTGAGGCAAAGTCCCACTTTTTACTTTCAGCCAGTCTGAAGGAAGCCGAGGATGAACAGCCTCGCGCAGCCATTATTTTCCAAGCACTTTTCTGCAGTTCAGTTGCTGTATCTACACAACTAAATCAGAACGAGACTAGGTCTTCCTCCATCAACAACAGAACTTCTGCAGGTTGCATAGATTGCTTCATTTGTTCTGCCATTTTTACTGTTTATTTCCAGCCTTGGGGGGGGGGGGGGAAATACGGGTCTGGCCATCAGCTTTGACAAGCAGCCTTCAGTCTGAAAACTAAAGGGTAACCAGTGAGCCCTCCATACTCGGTTGGCCAACAGAGGCAGGTGGAGGAGCACTTTCTGTCCTGCCCGGAATGACAGCAGGGATTCTCAGCACTGAACCACAGCCTCCTCCTCCTCCTCCTCTCCACAAACCGCCCGCCCTTCTAGCACTGATGATGTTAGCTAGCTGGGTAATGAAACATCTGCAAGACAAAAACCAAGCTCAGAGAGCACCAAGGATCGTACAGTCTCCTCCTCCTCCTCCTCCTCCGTTTCTGTGATGGACTGCCCAAGGGGCCTGCCAGTGTCTGGCCACTGTTCCAGAGGGGAGCACCCGACTTCCTTCGATGGGAACTCTGGAAATGCCCCCCCCCCAAAGATACTGTTCTGTAGCGCTCCCCCTTACTTCTCCAGGCCCTTCCTGTGCCCTGAGGGGAGGGGGGGCTGCCTACCTGGGTCTCCGTGAGCTGCAGGGTGGCTGCCAGGTCCAGGCGCTCCGAGCCCACCATGTACTGCTGCTTCAGGAACTCCTCCTCCAGGCGCTCCAGCTGCTCCGGCGTGAAGACGGTGCGCACTCGCTTCATCTTGCAGGGCTCTCCGGGTCTCCAGGGAAGGGCCGGCCCCAGCGGCCCGCTGCAGCGCGGGAACTCCGGGCCTGCGACCGCAAGAGGAGCCGGAGAGTGACCCGGAGCCCGGAGGGAAAGCGGATCGCACCCCCCGTCGCGCAGGAGCTTCTCCGGGGGGGGGGGGCGGGAGGGGAGCGTCCTCCTCCGAGGCATTTCCCAGAGCGCCTCCCGGTCACAAAGCCGGGACTTAATTCAGCCTCCCGCCTCCTTCCCGCCTCCCCTTTTCGGCATCCGTCGAGGGCACGAGCCTGCGGGTTCCGCCTGGCCGCCGGAGAGCCCGGGTCAGACGCCTCTGCCTGGACGGCTCCGATGCTTTTAAGGGGCGGGAGCAGCGGGCTCTATCAGGGCGAGGCCGTGGAGCCTCCCGGGTCACCCGCAGTCTACCTCGGGGCTCGGGAGCGAACTCGACGGACGGACCTCGGATTCCCCCCGCGCGCAGACGGGGCGGCCGGCCTCCTCACCTGGCCTCTTGCAGGCGGGCGCGGCGCACCGGCAGGTCTGGGCCGAGAAGAAGGGCTGCTGCGCGGTCAGATACAGCGCCGGGAAGCGCAGCGTCGCCGCCACGCAGCCGAAGTGCAGCGCGGGCGGGGAAGAGGCGGCGGCCCAGGCGCGGGGCACCGGCGACTCCCGACGGGGCGGCTCCGGCTTGGCTAGCAGCGACTCGATGTCGAAGCGGCTCCTGGCCTTGGAGGGCGGCGGGGCGGCGGGATCCGGCGGCGGGCTGCGCGGCATCCTCGGACGGGGCGCGGAGTCTGCGGCGGGCCGGGCCGCGGGGGCCTTATAGGGCGGCGAGGCAGGGGCGCGCAAGGGCGGAGGGCGTGGCTCGGACCGCCCCGGCGGAGGAGAGGCCGTCGGGCAGGGGGCGCGGAGTCACCGAGCGCCGACCGCTCTCCCCGGGCGAGGCCTAAAGGCAGGCCTGGCCAGAGGAGCCGGGAGGAGAAAGGCGGGCGGAGGGCTGGCGGCGACACCGGCGCCCGAAGGCTCACGTGGTGGAGGCCCTCGAAGACTGAAGCTGTGCCAAGCGGTGCCCGGCGGAGAACCGGGGCTCCCTCCCTCCCTCTCTTCTGCCTCCCCGGGCAGAGACCGCTGCTTGTTGGAGGAGGGGGGGGGCTCGTGAATCAAGTCGACCTGCCTTTAAAGAAGAGAACTGCCCCCCTCCCCCCTTCCTCAATCAGAGTGCAATACAAGTCACCCCTCCCGTCCATTTTGTCATTAATTTTCAGCGCTATGGGTCATCCCCAATCCTTTCATACCCGTCAAGCAAAATGTTCCAGCAGGCTGGACTCTGGACCCTCCTTCCCTTTCACCAGAGCCAACAAAGGCGGATGGCCAAGATGCCTCTCCGGGAGAGGAGGGGGCCACCACTGAAAGAGCCCCTTTGCCCAGAGTGGGGTGCTCTGTTGGTGGCCCAAACTTGGTTGGGGTGCAGGGGTCCCAGATGAAAGAGGCACCAGCTCCTTGAGGTCCATTCGGTGAACCCGGCTGGCCCCTGGCTACTTCTCTTCCCTGTTGCTTTCCCCATGAAATAGAATGGTGAGTTTTTCCAGTTTCCTAGTCTAGCCTATGACCTGGGATCTCCTAGTGGTCTCCACTCCTGCATAGCTTTTCTGAGGGCCCACTAGCTGCAGACTGTGCAAAGTGGAGACAATCCCCCTTATGGAAGTTGGATGCCAGCATGGCAGGAATGCCAGGGCACGGAGGGACTGAAAGGCTGTCAATCCGGAGGGGATGCCCTTGCGTGTGACCAAAGCAGGGGCTTCCTTGGGGGCCAGTCCCCCCACAGACTGCCCACGGAAGGAAGGCCACGTGGGGGGGGCATTGGTCTGTGCTTAAGCATGGAGGCTCTCCAGAGATAGGGAGGCTTTGGGACTGCCAGGACCCGGGGAGGGCAGCGGGGGTATCATCCTGGCAGAGCCTCCTCTTTTCACAAACATGGGGGAGGGGGTGTTTACCTCCCCCTGGAAGTGAGATGTAGGTATTGCCAGCCCTTTCCCTTGCAGGGGGGGGGGCGGAGAGAGGGGGGTACTGGAGGTGTGAAATTTCTCAGGGCTAAAGTGGTGAAATGAACCTGCAGGATGTCTAGTGCAAACGAGGAGGGGGGGAGCACGGGAGGGCCCCCTTTTCTGAAAAGCCCGGCGGGAGAAGGACGGAGGAAGGAGCCCTTTGTGGAGCAGGGACTGTAAAAGCCCCCCCCCAAAGAAGGCCCCGTTCCATCTAATAGTCATTAGCATCAATTAGGAGCCTTTGAAGTGGCCAGGAGCTTTGTCCCGCCGCAGAAAAGGAGCCCTCCTTTCGGGCAGCCCATAATAATCACATCTGGCGGGAGGAGGGGCTGCCGCCGCCCCTCCGCTTTCATCTCTTCTCAAGGTGCTTGGAATGTTAATGGGGGACAACCAGGAAATGCTTTTCCCTCCTGGAGACCTGGCGGGGGGGGAGGCTCCAGAACGCCCCCCTCCCTCCCCTCGCAAGAAGGGGACCGGCGTCCCCGCAAAGGCGCCGCTTGCTTCGCCCGCTCCTCCCCCCCCAAACCGGTGATCCCCAACGAGAATCAGCCCCGCAGCACCGGAGCCAGCGGGCTGGGTCAGGGCGGGGAGTCCGGCCCGCCGGTGCTCCCCCAGCGAAGAGCTCCGGCTGAAGCGAGGAAGGGGTCGGTCGGGGGGCGCTGGGATTATTCCTCGGTCCCGGAATCTAACCGGGTGGTCTTGAGCCGTTTCCCCTCTCTCCAGCCTGCCTCGCAGGGCGGGGAGTCTGGCCCGCCGGCCGGCCGGCGCTTCTCCCTCCGTTTGGGTTGCCTTTGGCTTGTGGTTTGGTTTTTAAAAGCTCTTTTCACGTGTTGAATTCCAGCCACATCGTCTCCCGCGTGTGGTTTTTTTCCTCTGCGCTAAGCCACTTTCTGGCTGGGTTTAGGCCAGGGGTCGCCAACCTCGGCAACTTTAAGACTTGTGGACTTCAACTCCCAGAATTCCTCAGCCAGCTTTGCTGGCTGAGGAATTCTGGGAGTTGAAGTCCTCAAGTCTTAAAGTTGCCAAGGTTGACGACCCTTGGTTTAGGCAACCTAGTTACCCAAGTAGCTCTGCAGCTGCTACAGGAGGCAGGAGGATGGGATGGGCCTGCTGGGACAGCGCCCTTCCCAAGGGGGACCGGCCTTTGGGGCCAGCAGCGTAGCCTCTGGGGAGGGCTAGGTTGGAGGTCCAGAGCATCTCCCTGCCCTTTCCCTTCCCTTGAGGGATGTAGAGGGAGGGGGCTTGCCTTCTGCATACTGGCTGGGGGGAGAGGGAGGGAGGGGGAGCCCTGGGAGCAGAAGGCCAAAGCTTCAGCCAAGCCACAGACCCTTGCACACAGGTCTGCAACCTGCGGCTCTGGAGCCACATGCAGCTCTTTGAGCCTTCCCCTGTGGCTCCCAGCCTCCTCTGCCATTTGCAGAGAGAGACAGAGACAGAGAGAGGCAATTGCACTTCCCTGCTTCTCTATCTCTGTCTTTGTGTTTGTGTTTATGCGTGTGTGTAGAAGAGAGCAGATTCACTGTGTTCTCCGACAAGCTGAAAATCTTTTGGGGCGTGGCTCCTGCAGGAAGCAGGAAGGGCAGGAGAGAGCTAGCTAGCCCAGCTATGCTGACTCAGGAATTCTGGGAGTTGAAGTCCATGAGTCATAAAAGAGCCGAGGTTGCCTACCCTGAGCTTTTGGAGAACAGCTTGAAGGCAGCTTGCCAGGTGAGCAGAAGATCGGAGAGAGGGAGGGGGGGGGAGAAAGAGAGAGAGAGAGAGTGGGGGAAGAGGGTTGGCAGACCAAGGTTAGAAAGAAAGAGAGGGGGAGAGAGAGACACAGTGTTTTGTTTTTGGTGGGAAACGGGTCCAAGTGGCTCTTTGAGTGTTTTGGGTTGCCTACCCCTGCCCTTGCACATTATGCAGCTGCCCAGGAAGAGGAGTGCTTCACAAGACCCCTGGAGGGTGGGGGCCACCAAGAGGGCACCTTGCAAAGCCTGGGACCCCAAGGCTGTAAGCCATGCCAGGAGAAGAGGTGGAAGATGCTACACAGCGGTGTTTGTCCCTTTGGGGGGTTCTTCTTGACCCAAGAACCACGTTGCTTGCACCCCCAGATATTTTCCACTGGGGAAACTGGGTTGGCCAGAGGAGGGAGTGCCTGCTTGGGGGGTCAGACCTATGGGTGAGGGGGTAGCTCTCTGGCGGTTTTGACCTTCTGGCCTTTGGGCCAGAAGACAGGGGGATGGCTCCCATCTTGCTGCCAAAGGTAGCTATTCCAGAGCCAGGAGAGCAGCAAGAGCCCCCCCCCCCATTTCCCAACTTCTGTGAGTTAAATTGCATTTTCCCCGTCTGCATTCCCTGCAGTGCAGTACGGAAATTTTCCTTCAGGACCAGAAACAGAATTAGGAGAGTTAACAGAATCTACTTTTGGTATACTTTGACACCACTTTGTTTTAATTTTTTAAATGATCTGATTTAATCATTTTTATGTATTTTGATTGTCCTATAACCTTCACTACCGAGCGTCATTATTCAAGTGTCAATAATTAGTTAATTGAACAACTAATTAATTATGCTACCTTCACTCAGGATGCTCATCCTGCTTGTAAGGAAAACTAATATTCTACAAGCCACTCAAGATGTTGTGTGTGTGTGTGTGTGTGTGTGAGGGAGGGAGAGAGAGAGAGAGAGAGAGATCTCCAGGCAGGTCAAGGACAGCTGTTAGCATGGACAATGACCTTCATCAGCAAGCCTGGACCTGTCCAGCTTTGTGGATTGCGAGGTCTGGGCCTGCAAGGCTGCATGCAATGCCTCTCCTCCCCCACAGTTCTGCATCACCCTCCCCAAACTTTGGCTGCCAGTCCTCTCCCCTCCTGCTTATTCTGGGAGTGGCCTGCAGAATCCGGGCTCCACCCCTCCAGCTTCCCGGTTGGGGGTGTGTGGCCAAAGCAGGGGGGGGGGCTGTAGAACTGAGGTTCAGAGGGTGCTGTCCCAAAGGAGTGGTGGTAATATGGAGTCTTCAAGAGTCCCAGCCCTGGATAGCCCATCCTTAGGGAACTTCTCCAGTTCCTTTCTGGAGCTGTTCTAGCTAGTGGTCATCATCTCATTGAACAGTAATGAATTAGTGAATTGATGACTCAGCTGCCCTGAGGCAGGCTATGGGAGGGTCCTTGGGCCTTGTGAGAAGCGGTTTGCTTCTGATTGCCCTAATGCAGTGGTTCTCCAGCTGTGGGTCGGGACCCCATTTGGGGTCCAACGACCATTTCACGGGGGTCGCCAAACAACGCAGTCCGCCATTTTTTCCCCCCTTTTCCTTAGCTGTGCTCCTCCCTTTTATTCTATTGGCTTTTGAAAGCCAATAGAAGAGACTCTCTTGAACAGAGTCTAATTCTATTGGCTTTCAAAAGCCAATAGGAAGTGTCCAGGCTGCCTCTGCCCTGCTGAGCCCGCCAAAAGTTCCCTTCTGCAAACGGTGCTGCACCAGTTGAGTAGTCCTCGACTTACGACAGGTTGAGTAGTCCTCGACTTACGACCAGTTGGGGGGTCGCGACATTAAAAAGGTTGAGAACCACTGCCCTAATGGGTGGCCCCCTCCTCAGTTCCAGTTTTTGGCCAGAGGGAGCAAAGCTTCTCCAAGTCCACTTGGTCTATGGCACATTATACATCTCAGTTACATCCCCTCCAATTGCCTCCCCCCCCCCCAGCTTCAGTGCAAGTGAGGATGATGGGCGAGGTCATGGGGGGGGGGGT